GGGTATCTCTGTAAGCTATTCGTTTCCTTCTTTGTCAGGGAAAACGTATACCAATTAACTGAAACGTGTATACTTGGGTTGGCTCTGTCGTAGTTCCATCCTTCGTGGCTCTAACGTAATTTGGCTGCGTTCAGAAGGTTTGGTTACTGATGATAATAACACGTGTGCTTATGGAAGATGGCGGCCGTATCCATTTGCCGTCTATTTTATATTGCCGTATGGCCGAGACTTTGGGGCGCAACGTTGTCCGCATGTCTACCTTTTACCAGCAACTTGCGACAAGCATATTTCTGCACAACTTATATTGATTGCTTACGGACTGGCAAAACCTTCACCATCAGGTGCAAGTACAGACCTATGGAAGATGGATAGTCTCATTCCTTCCTAACTATAGTCGTTTAACAAAGACGCGATTAAAAAAAAGTTCCACAAGCTTTTAGCAGGTTCATCCCATCCATTATTTTTGATCGGTTGGCATTTTGAGCCCCTGTTGACAATGGACGTTGGCAAAACGTGAAGATCTTCAGGTTTGCCGGCTGAAAATGTACACCGCATTCACGCACTGTTCCCCCTCCAGTAACTGTATAATTTCATTTAATGTATTAGGTAGGTAGAGAAATGAGTAATATTTAGTGTTTATTTTAAAATAATAAAGGTGCGATGGTAAACTATGTTTTTGCTTTGGTGATCAACGATACGAGAAGCAAGAATCATTAACTACCTGGAGAGTTTAAGACTGCATGTTCATGGAATATATATCAGTCGGGTGCATCTTTATTACCAACAGTGAAGTGGAAACTGGAGCAGCACTGTAAAATAGCGTTAAATGAAACCGGCTACATGAAAATTCTGTAATTTTCGGTTACCGAAGTTCACTCCAATTCAGATACCATTTGTTATAGTTCTGTGTATTTGTAGTCTGGAGATCGATGAGGGGTAGGAATAGCGGGACTCTAAAGGTCAAGTGGTGTGGTACCTTACCTCCCCTCTGAAGCAGGCTGCTTATCCCCTCTTGGTGTAGGACATAAATTAATAACAGGCTGATTAATGTACTCTAATGGAAGTACTTAGCGCGGTGTTAAAATGATTAATGGTGGGCAATTGCCAGGGACAGAGACTACGGAGTCAACATCCTAGTCCTCCGCTGGAATTTACCTTACCGACTTTGGTAGATAGAGCGGCCAAAACTTGAAAGCGATTGTTAATCTTTGGCCTATAGATAATAATAGTCGTTCTCTGTCAGGACTTCTATTCGCACATGATAAATTTCTTAGGCGAACTTAGCTCTTTTTACCTTTTCACCAAGGAGATCCTTGTCTCGTGTCAGTGTTTCTCCAAGGCGTTTCCTGCCGGGATATTTTTCAGCGGGTTTTAAGGGGCATTTTCAAGAGGGCAACTTGATAAGGCCTCATATATTACAGATTTCAGAGGATGGGGTGGAGGGAGTGAAACAGACAGTAACCTGGGGAATTTCTGTTCAATTTTTTTTCCAATAGAGTTGACCAGACTGCCCAAGTATCAGTCTTGCAAGTCGGCTATGCAAAGAATGACATGCCCCATGCAAATGCAGCAGGTGCATTTTGTGAATATCGGTACCCTTGGTACGCGTGCCATAGTTATGGCTAATTTGAACTAGAAACCTTCTCCCCGGGAAACATTTGACAACATTCGATTCCATCTGACAAGATGGAAATGTTGGACTTCAAAGTTGCTGTATTTCAGAAGATATGGCTCTGTAGTCTACAATCTGAGGAGAAAGGAACAATTTAGCCTCGCACAGCCCGAAGGCAGGGTTCTTTATAACCAGATGCCTGAAAAGGTCAAAGCTGAAGAAAGCATTAACGAATGCCACATTGATTACTCTCAGGAAAGAAGGAAGCCTATGGGGCTAGAAATTGCTAGCATCGGTCATTTTGAGGGAGAATAGCCCATGCATTGGCATAGTTGAGGGCTACATCTGGGTGCTTCGCCTCTTAGGCCTACACCCACAAACCCATCCAGATAAGCATCGTTTCTCCGACTCCACCTCTACTCTGTTAAATGTCAAGTGCCGACAGATCTGGAAAAAAAACGAACCAGGGAAAAAATATGTCGAGTGAGAGGGTGAAGACCGATGATTAATCTTTGGCTGCAACTGTACACGACTCTCTCATTGTCTGCGCAAGGTGTTAAGGGGGTACAGGAAAAGACCACAACTTAATGACCACTTTATCACGGTTGGCAACACCGGGGCGACCTGTACATCTGTCTCACTTTCAAGAAAATCAACATCGTCTTTGTGTATCTTCTTTCCTGGCTGACGAAGAGATGCGTGTTTGTTCAGGTTTTTAACTTGGATCCTCTGTGAACGATCACATTTTTTTGGTTGTCGACGGCGATCAATCGCCCGTCCATTAATGTGCTCAGGTGCAGCGCGATACATTATCGGATCGAGGAGGGGCGGGGGTTAAGAGAAACTCAAGCTGCAAGTGTCATTTATCACGCTGAGCTGAGCGGAGTGGCTTCATTCAGATCGCTGGTAAGAAATTCTGATAAACACTAAATCTTGATTCCTGTCTAGATCACGAGTGTTCTGATGAGGTTGAAATATCACCTGAACTGCATCATTACAATGTCCTTTGTAAACTTCCGAAAAAAAAATGCGGTAAGCCTACACTGCAGTTTCCAACTTTCGGCTCGCATGTAGAAATACCAATAAGGGCCAAATTGGTTTAATTTTTTTGTCGGCTCTTTTGATTTATCTTCAAAACCGCATTTGATACCAAACTAGAGTGCTTTCTTTAAACTAAATACACCTCAAACAGGACTCACGAACTACTTATTTGCATAAGATAGTCCTTGAAAACAAGATGCCCTTCCAGGAAACTTCACACGCGTACTACTAACCCGCGCCACGTTAATTTCCACCCAAGACTGAGCAGACAAACCTTAACCTCTGGTGAGAGAATTTCGCTCGCAGAAAAAAGCATTACCAGCTCTTGCAGTTCCCAGGGACTACGAGCGCAGGTACGAAAGGGCCCATCGTCGACTGAACTGTCCAGGGTCCCCGACTATCGGTGCTCAATCAATGCACATTTCCCCGCTGATTGTTCGGCAATAGCCCGTTAGTAGTTGTAAAAATAGAATCCTTTAAATATGCCATGATTGCCAAGACGGCAAAGGGAACCGGGTTGAAATGATAGGTAATGACTTCACGGCATTCACAGTGCCACGATTGTGAAAACTATCAGGTAAACACACGTGGGCAACACGGCTTAGAAGGTTCATTTAACAAATCAACATTGGACAAAAGACCGTTGGATTTTTCTCCCGCCTTGGTGGAGCGCACCTTTTTCGAAGATAACTACTACCGGTAACAATTTTGTGTTCATTTTTTGTTATTATTTTTTTAACCAACGTCGGCGTGTTTAATTTTGGGGATGAGAGGAAACGTCATGTTAATTTTTCGAATAAACAACACCAACCACTGAAAAGGTCATTAAAATGAGGAAGACATCTAGATGACCTGTATTTGACTTCCCAAGTGCCGATAATGAGCAAGAAAAGCGTGGTGACAGCCTACAGACAGACGGCGGACCGTGAACATGTCGGTTCGTGGTATGAACTCGGTGTCCTTCTGGGATTCTTTTCCCCAGACGATGCTAAAGCGACTGCAGCTCTTTATATGTGTCAAAGTATATCTTTATGTAATCATGAAAATCCACGACGGCACGCCACGCGCTGTCTGGCCACGCTGCCCGCATACATCACACGGAGCATCATCTTGGAACTGTTTGGCAGTAGTAAGACGGAGAAAAGACCCTCGGGAAACAAACAGAATCGGATACTGGCTCAGAGATGAGGGAAAAGTGTCTCATTCCAGAGGGAGGGGTGAATTGATTGGATTTGACAAAATCTGAAACAAAACAAAACAAAACAAAACAAAACAAAACAAAACAAACGCAGAATGAAGAAAAAAATTGGCTCGTTTTCGAGGAATCCAAAGTTCCTTATGGCAAACTTACCGTTTCTCAACTTCCCTCCTGTGCAGACATTGTAAGATAAAGAATATATCGAAGCAGACTCAAGGGAAAGAGGATTCTACATGCTGTAAGTTCACCTTTGCAGTGTTACTCCATGTTGACTTTAAAATATTACCACCCAACGTGGTATGTTGAGGTTGAACGACCAAAGGTTGAACGTTCAGAAGACATCGCGTGCTCGACACCGCTTGTTTTTCTATTTTAGAGCCACAGTTTTCCCATCTGCTGTAGGCCTGTGCATGGTTGCCCCTTCTTTTGGAAGGAATTCCTACAGTTGGGCTGGCGTGGCATGTCATTTAATCCCGACTTGCACTCATTACTGAAGAAACCATTCTACACATGTCCTAGTAATCAGCTGGAAATAGATTTTTGACGTTTTCACTCTATGATGGAACAATGCCCCTTGTTTACGGGTGGGCAGCTCTTTTGCCAACAAAATAATGAGGTTCACGCACGGTTCCAAGCTGTTTTTTTTTACTACCAATCTATTCAAGAAATGGCGTGCAAAACAAAATTCGAAGTAGTGTTTTTTGGGGGTGGGGGTTGTTTTCTGTACTTCCGTGCAATGACCAACAAGCACGTTCAAACTCATTGAAAACGCCTGTGATACGATGAATATACGTTTTTAACTTACTGACCGGTGAAGAATGTCAGTTGCTTGATTTTTGGTATAATAAAAGGGGATTGAGGAATTTTTGCCAATAGCGCTTTGGAGCAACTTAACATTGGGGAATGACAAAAGGGGCTTGTTCAGAAATTAAAAAATGCATTGAAGACACTTGGCCAACGTGAGTTCCACTGCAGGTGTGGCTTACCTTATAATCACAATTCGGATAAACATTGCATGGCCCTTTGGCCCAGTAACATATCCATGCTCGATATATCATATATACTGGATACTACACTGAACTACGGTACCGAACTTGGCTGAAACCGATGTTCACTCTGAAATAAATAGACAAAATTGAGGCTTGAGTGTCAAGTTTCAATCGTCATTTTAAGCAATTCTAAAATGGGATAAATCACTGAAATTCGTGTTTGAAACAAAAGCGTACAGAAAACCGAAATGCTATGCAATTCCATTCGATCTAGTGATTACATAAAGCACTCCTGAAGTTCGATTTCCTGTCCACAACATGCAAAATATGGAACACCCTTTGAATTTTTAATACTATAAGGGCAAAAAAAAAAAATCAAATTTAGAGCGATGAAGTCGTTCTAGTTTGAAAAATTTGTTCATGGAACCATCATACTTAACAGAGAATATTACATTAACTTTCCTCCTCTTGTGTGGGTTTGGGTATATTTTCGCACGGTTGTTGACGAATTCAAATAGGCCTACACAGAAAGATGTGACCTCCACGGGACTACGACAAACCGATTCAGTTAAACGAATACGCACTGTCTTCGGTATTCTTACAGCACGAAACATTATTAAGATACAACTTTCCTGTTGGAATAATCAAAGCAGATGCAACTACAAATATACAAATTGGGGGAAATGGTAATAGAATCTGAAAACCGGTTGGAATATCGTCAGCCATGGTGCAGTCCCAAGCCGAAAGCATTGTGTAAATAGTTCCCAACACGATTTTGTTTGAATGGTTTGTTTTCATTTTACTTCAATTTCCCCGGTACCCTCCGTGGTTATAATTTAAACAAACTCTGGTGCATTGGTCATTCCTAAATTAAAATCACCTATCCTTGATATGAGCAACGGGACACGATTTTGGCAAAACTTATCTTCAAACTGTTATGTACAAATTAAAAGAAATTAAAAACGGCAAAACGCTCCCCAAATCCATTACAATTTTTTTTGTCTAAGAATTTCTTAAGCGGAAGAAAAACGACAGATTCCACTTTAGTTCAAAAAGTACAGTCCCATCTCTTCGAAGATAACGTCAACACAATCTACGAAAGAGAGCACTAATTTTAAATAATGTTGTTGTTAAAACATTTTTTTTATACACTTGTCAATCTGCAAAACTCCAAACGTGCAAAAAGATTTCATCCCAACGAAATGCCGAGGACAGTATATGGGGTCACAGGCAATGGTGCACACAAAATTGACAAAGAAAGACTCGTTCACGATCAAGATCAGAGTGGAGTCAAGGATTACCAAACAAACAAATTCAAAGTTGCCACACTTTCCAACTTTAAAACAGATGCGACTTTATAATGTGAACATGAAAAATGATAATCTGAAGTTTTTGCCAAACATCTACAAATTGTTCTCCTGATCATCTACGAAAAGGACTTTCCTAATCAAGTCAAACAAATTAATTTAGCAACTAATTGCTCTGCCAATCATCAAACACCTTGAAAGCAGTTTCGATCTTAAAGAAGGCATTCTTTGTGCATACATGTATTATAAAGCAGTAAAAAATAAGTGGTAAAGCATAAGTTACCATAGAAACCGTCTCCATGGCGATTATATAGCACATGGTTATCAACACGGTGATAAATAGAACTGGATAAAATTGTAACTCTATCTATATACAGAAAGATTGCACACAAGTAACCAACTGAACGAGTCCGTCTACAACTCAACCCTGTCTTTGGCTCTGCTTATGATATCCCCGAGAATTTTTCTTCTTTTCATAATATACAAGAATGTGGTGATAATATACGAATAGTACAATATACATAAAATATTTACACCATTACTGCATATCTGAAAGATTAAACCCCTTCAAACTTCAGAATCTCTCTGAGACCTTAAAACCCAGCACACAAAAAAGTCAAGGTTGAATCAACAATAACAGTGGGGCATCTCCCTTCCATTAACTTTCATATATGTACAGTATACAGCAAGGCTAGTAACAGCTTTTCAGGCTTGCATAGTGTAAGTGCTTTTTTTTTCTTTGAAAAGAAGAAAAAGAACATTTAAAAGAGCATAAGAGGGGGGAAAAGACAATTAAAGGGAAAATATTGGATTGACTGAAATTTGACTCAACCTCATCGTTAATAATAAAAACCCTGGCCATCTGCTCCATCATCCTGTCAGGAATAATCCGTCTCATCATTCCGTTATTACCAAACCTGGCCTCTCTCCCATTTCAATAAAATATCGGTCATTTCCCCCCCCCCTTGTCTACTGTCGGTCTCTGTGACAATTCCTCACTGGGATTAATATTAAAGCCCGGGAAATGAAAAGCTACTCCTGTCCAAACCCCGAAGAGATTGACAAACAGATTCAAAAATATGGGCATTCCATCAAATGTCAAAATGTACCTCTATCATGTGTAACATAATTACATTCTGAACAATGCGAAAGAAAATAATTGTTCAAATCCTCTGCTAAATTGGAATATTGGTTTAAAAAAATGCAGAATCACTACAATGTACAAACTCTATTAAATTTCCATTTAACCTGGCATCACAAAAGACTTTAAATGATTCCAAGGGTCAACACTTGAAATTTACTAACTCAACCCTGTTAAGCAGGAAAACTTTGATCATGCATTTAACAAGGAAGTCTGAAATTGTAATCAAAGACCTAAAAATGAGAATGGACATTGATCAAGTTGCAAAAGGTCTGGAGAGTTTGTCTTACATGCTCCAGAAAAGGGGCAAAACCATTAAACCTACAGCCATGATGACCCAAAGACAATCAACCCAAACAGCTTTTGGAGGGACTTTCTTCAACATTTGAGTAATTCAGACAGAAATGAACGTGAAAAAAGACAAAAACCTGAAACTGTAGCAGTACTGTTTCTGGAAAGTTAAAGATGATTGAACTCTAGGAGCATGAAATTTATTAAGCAATTCACCAACCTGAAAATTTACAGGTGCATTCAGTGACAAAAAAATTTATTAAATGAAATGAATTCTAATCTTTAAAGCAGTGAATCTTACTTACAAAATCAACTTTAAAAAAAAATGGATGAAAAAATTGATTCAGATCTGTTTAGATTCAACTAATATCACTGCCGACATGACATTCGAAGAAACAAAATGGCTTGAAGCTGAATTACGTCGAAGGTGAAAATTCCTTCTCATCTGTAAGGCATGAATTATGTTTAACCTTTGACCTCTTGAGGCAAAAAAAGAGCAAGTACTTTGGTGGAGAATGCACTGGCTCCAGAAATGATGAGGGCAAAGATATGAAGTCAACTCGTGACAAATTTGATGAGTATGCACAATTGGAATGTTTGCGAACTTGAAAGCCAATCACCCAACAACTACACGTACCATCTAGTGAATTAGGTTGAAAATGGATATTTACAACATATACAGGTATGAAGCTACATGTATGCTGGAAACAGTTCACTGCACAAAGTTCAGAAAGACTTGAAACAGCAGTAGAGTGTGCTCGAATGTTTGCAATCTCACTGGAATCTGTGTTTTAACGTCCTCGTAAGGCGCTCGCATGTGCATTCAGTAGTGGCTCCAGAGAAGTCCAACGCACCTTGAAGAAGTGCATTTGGCAATTCCTTGGACAGTAAATGGTTAGGATCAGTTTCAGATCCAGAGGGAAACTGCAAACACAAACCCCGCTGGCATGAACTCTGACCCTGCTTGGTTTTTCTGTTGGCATCCTCAATTACCCAGCAACGTGTGCAGTTGTGTTGAATCCAACAGAACACAGCAACTGCGATGATGAAAGCCCTTTGTTCCCTACCAGTACTTCATTCCAACCAATGCCACCCATACCGAGTAGAACCTTCTCACTCATGGATTTTGCTGCATTCTGCATGGTTACATGTAGGGTTTCCAGAGGCTCAAATCCTTGCCTTGTTTAGGTCTTCATCTTCTAGAATGGTCCTTGTAAAAATGGCTAGGATTCTAGGCTGATTCAAAACACTAGGAATGGATGTGTTCACACCGTGTGTCCCAAATGGTTTACACATTGGTCATTCTCTAAAAGTTTTGTTTTTGTATAACTTCAAGTTAAAACAGACGATTAAACACACAAGGCGATATCCCCAAGACTTGCCAGACCACATCAAGCCTTTTCAGAGGTAAACCCATAATTTTGGCCTGAAAGATTTTGAGTTAAAACTCAATTATATTTGACAATCAATGCCTGGACATTTACAAGGTTTTGATTTCACAAATGACCCCCTCCCCACTGAACGCACCCACTCTATCCCAATGAAGGTTAGTTTAAATTATAAGTAATTGGATTCAAGTTAAACACTCTCTGCACTTGCACAAGATTATTCCATGTGAAGGAATTGAAAGTTTTATCATGAAGCTGAGTCTACATCACAGTCTCAGATTTCACAGCTCACTGGATATTGATGATGACTCCTCGAGTCTATAATTCCGGGTATAAATACCAAAGGAGTTCCGCCATCACTCGCATGCCACCCCCCAAAAAAAAACCACGAATGCTGTCCATCATCAGCACATCTCTGCAAGGAACAGAAAAAATATAGATGTATTTACACTGCCCCCAGTCTGCTGAGTTTGTCGATTTGTTTCGTCTTCGCCGAAGCCGGTCACGTATCAAAAACAAACTGATCCTGCCCGTTGTCGCCATTGGCCATGATGTAGTTCGTGTAGGGCGGGGTCTGCGGGTCGGACCAGGGGTGGTTGGGGATGCTGGCACTGTACGAGTAGAAACGCAGGCCCGAGTGGAAATCCATGTACCGGTTACGCCACATCAGGATGACCACAAGAAAGGAGGCTATGCCGCCCAGCCCGTTGAGAATACACTGGATGAACATGTAGGTCTTCAGGTTGAGGAGGAAGGACTGGCAGTCGATGATGTCCAAGAAGGTGTAGATGCGCGACAGTCCGTCGCTCTCCACCTTGGTGCAGTGGCAGGTGTAGTGATTGTCCGAGATGCAGTTGGACTTCTCCGAGTTGATCAGGCTCAGGATGTTCTCCCCTTGGATCCCGCAGAAGGCGCTGGCAATGGTGCTGACAAACAGACAGACAACGGAGAGCAAGAAGAAGGAGGCCTGGTGGAAGGAGAGAGAGAGACAAGATGAGATTGGAGGCTGAATAAAAACTCCACAAAGTCCATCAAGCAGAGAGGTTGTGACAATGACTACAGTAAGATACAGGTGACTTTACATGGATAGAAGCTGACAAGGCATGACTTCTATCCCAAGGGGGGGAACATGATGATTTGGTCAAAAATTCACTCAAATCACACCCCAGGACAAGTTTCTTCAAATGTGGCTCAAGTGAATAACACAAGTTTTTCTTTTTTTTCCAACCAGTATTTCTTCTAAATCGGGGAAAGCGATTACATAAAAGGATACTGTACTGCACTGTATTCTTCACTGCAGCTCAATGAAATATGGCTCCAACTAAATGTATATTTAACAAAGTAAGACACAGGGTAAAAAGAAAAATAAAAAATTAGCATTTCCATTTAAAGGTTGCCTCTCTGGTGGTATAACTGGCTGAGGGGTGGAAAGGCATGCCCCAAGCCGAACTCTTTATTTCAAGGTGCCCCCATGCAAATGAACACAACCTTTATACAGGTACATACAAGCAATAGTTATTTAACTTTTAAATAAAAAAAAAAAAGCCCCCTTCCAAAAAAAGGGGGGGAAGACCTCGGGGTGCCCCTTAGAAACTACACCCTGGTTATGCTGCCTGCCACAACCACCCACCAAGAGGTACCATATCTCCTCCCCTTTTGCACCAAGACAAGGTCTTGATAGCAGTGGGCCACTCTACACACAGGCCACCCACATCTCCCCCACCTTCATTACCAGGCTACAAGCTGAGTTGAGTAAACACCAACAACCTTTCAAACAAACGGTAATTCTTTCTGGCTCTGCCGGCACTAAAGCTGTCAGGCTGGCGCATTTATGTCCCGACACTCGAAGGGGGGGGGGTGTGGGTGGGGGAGAGATGGGGAGTTCAGGGTGGAGATGAGACACACAGGTTTGCTTTATATCGCTGAAACCAGACCGGCATGACATCCTGACATTTACGCCGCTGCTTTTTCAGGCCCGTCTGAACATGTCTGCCTTGGCCAGATGAATTCATCAGGCTTAGCAACTGTGCTACTCGATAAGAAGCGGCCACAAAAACTCTTCCACACCCCAAAAAATTGTTTTTTTATAAAATCTGTTGACAGCATCCACACATTTTCGATTAAAGAGTGAGGGTTGTTATTAACAAAAACATCTCCAGCTAAGTTGCTATGCACCGGTATCCTGAAAAACACAAAATAAACTGTTTATAAAATTCACCTGAAGGTCAATACCACCAGACCAGACCAAGATGTTGCTGCCAATAGCTCAGATCAATTCTGAGTTATTACAGATGGCGATTACAACCCCTAATAATGAAAGATTGAGCAATCAATTCCCGGAAGGCTTACAAATTACCTGCATAATAATTTTATCAATTTATTAACAATGAAATAGTTTGAAATCAATTCCGGTGATATTTCCATGTCAAATAACAAAGGTCAGATGTAACAGGGACACAAAAATGTCACACTGTTGGACTCCTAATTTTCTGGAATTACCCATGTGTAGATCTACTGCTTCAGTATATCAGCACAGTGTTCTAGCTAGGACCATTTTAGTGCCGGATAAATGTGTGGATTACAAAGCATAGTGAGCGCAGTTCTTAATGCTTTCTGATGCTTGAAATACGATCAAATTGGTACATTTAAATTTTCAGTAATATTTCGGTTCATTTCTTGGAAAATCCGTGCTGGGTGGCACAGCCAATTTCAAACCTGAGTGCCGGGCAGAAATTTGCAGTACTGGGTGGTGCCGCCCGGTGCCGCCCACCGCGGCTAAAACCCTGTATCAGAGTACCAGCAGTTTTAATAGAAAGCAATTCAAACGATAAAAATAATCGTTCAAATAATCAGAATCCTTTATTTCAACATGCTCTGTAATAACTGTTCTTAGCCTCGGGGATGGGGGAGGGAGGAATTCCAGACTGCTCTGAAACTCTGGTTCCTCAGGAGGCCGACAATGACAACATCCCTTGCAGCCTGTACATATTATTGAACTAGGGATCGTTGTGTGCCTTCCTAGACACGTCTTGTTGGATGTTGTTGGATGCCACATACGACTAATGGAATAGTTCACACTCTACCGGCGTGTGCAGCCTGTGTGCAAACTGCGGGACTCCCCAGTGTACAGACACTCCAAACCGCTGCAAAAACACCGAGAGTGCTTTTTCTTCCTTGAGGAATACGCGCTGGGACACCTGGAGGTGGGAAAAATACGCAAACGGTGTTATCGTTTTGCTCCGGCGAATGTGTGCTGAAGGCCTCCAAGACAGGCATGCATCGATGAATCGTCACGGCACGTCACTACCTGATGGCCAGCCCAAAAAAAGATTGGACAACCTAGGGAGCTGTATGATTAGTTTCATCTTGACAAAGTACAGTACCTCCCAACAAGGCAGGCCATTATGTGCTATGTGATGCACGACAAACCATGTAGGGTGAGATGTACATATAAACAATCACAAACAGCGTCCTTATATTCTGAAGTACATTGCTAACGGCTTGAAAATAATGTTTCAAAGGAAAGAATTCAAACAATCTTGGCAAAATATGTCTGACGTTTCACCAGAAAATATTCAAAAGAAAAACTCTGAACAGGTGTAAAGAAAATATTTCTGTACCCTTTGGGAGGCATGTGGTCTAGTGGGTTGGGTTTGGGACTCACAAGCATATAGGGTCAGGGATTCAAATCCAGCTGCTGGTCGATGTAACCTTGGGCTACATTCACTTTACTCCCTCTTGCCCCTCTCCACCCAGGGCTACAAATGGGTACCTGTGAGGGTTGAGATGGTTGGTGTGTTTTGATTAGCTATTTGTGCCAGAAATGGCAGCAGTGAGCTGTGTATTCCCCAGGGAGCTGAGATAGATTTTAGGAATGTTTATGGACCCCCGTGAGCAGGAATAATCATAATGCATGGCGCCTTGATTGAGTTCCCAGATACATTTACATGCACATTTAAAATATTATCATTATTAGTACTTTTTAATGTTTTATACTGACAAACGTACACAATATTTCCATGAGAAATTTAGAGACTCCTACCGTCTCCTCTGAAGCTGACAACTAGACAACTCTAGAGCAAAGATTCACTGTATTTATGACACAGTGCTGACAGTAACTTTACATGACAATTTTCAGAGGTAATTTCGCTTGAAAGAAAGATTGCTTTCTCCAAGTTTTGCTTATCTCAGCCATCTGGCAATTTCTCATTTTTCTCTCAATGCGTCAATCTCACAGACAATCCAAAACAAGTGACAAGCAATCTCTGCAGCATATGAACTTGAGGTTGTCTCGGAAAGACCGGGGAAGGGGCAAGGAAAGGTTTCATGTGAATGAAAAAAGTGGCGATTTGATTGCCTCCAGTGGCAGCCTTCATACATCCTCCCCAGAGTGGCGCGGCACATAAATCTGTCAGGTTTTGCTCCTGTCTGTCTTGGTTTTTTTTTTTTGAAAATATGTCTTCAGCTTCCCCATATTATGAGAACGAAAAAACGGCTGTCATATACTGACTACTGATCCGGAGCGTTGCGGGCCGATGCAACCTGTCACTGATATGGTTCTCGCCTGGTCGGAACTATGTGCTTAGACCAGTGGAGCCTGCAAGGGGGAAAAAAGTCCAGGACTTTGCTCATTAAAGGTGGACGGCAATGGCATGAAGCCTCGCAGGGAATCATCGCGCCAGTGGACTGGAACCCCTTTCGATGTGCACGCACCTTCCGCTTATCTTGTCCAAGCAAACGCGTGTTTGATATTACGGTTGTAATTTGTGTTTGTGCTCTTTGCTCGACCCTGGGGGAATTTAAAAAAAAAAAAAAATGAAGGCAGACAAGCATTTTCTGATGTCACAGCATCCTTTCCCTCAAAGGCTTCTGAGAGTCATTCCACCGTATGACCCACATAATTGTGTTTGATCTTAATGTATCAAATGGGAAATTTTCCAGGTTCCATAAGGCTATCATTTCCTGCATTTGGGCAGAAACCACAGGGACTCTTTACGGTGCATCCCTAAATCCACACACAATCACATTTCCACCTTTTACTCCAAGGTTGGTTGCACTACACGTGTGACTGCATGTCTGTTTTTCGATCTACTTCTTTTGTCTAAGGGGCATATTAAGATTTCCAACGTCGTTCATGATGAAAGTCAAGGCCAATCATGTTTAGAAATTGGAATATACTTCCGGACATCAACTGTCCTTGATGAGACTTGATTCGAGGATAGCCTGGCTTCACGCCTTGCAAGTCTGCTTTTCACTGGTGTATTTTGTCACTCTGTGCTACTCCTAGCTAGCCAGCTAAGGTACACATGTGCAGTGTTCTCTCAAACAGGGTTATTACTTTGACAGAAAGGGGATGAAACTGAACTTCCAGGCTTCAAAGTACATGAAGCTACTCTGTGACAACCTCAAGCTTTATAAGTGCAAACCCTACTTTACTTACAAGGGCACAGGAAGAGAAAGATAACATTCGCAAAATCTGAAGCTTCTGAGCAAAGCTTGTCCAAATTTTGTGCTAAGCAAAAATGGGCGGAAACAAGTATCAAGTAATGTTCTTTTCACAGCACTTCAGCTTGGTAATCTGTCTCGCTAAGCAAATATTCTACCAAATTTCTGAGCTTAACAGTTAATCTAAACTGGCCCTTCAGTCTACATACATGTACATGTATGTTCAAACGGAATAAATAAGGACTCCTGTGGCTTTCAACATATATACAGTTACATTTGTGACTCATCTGAATGCATCTGTGTAGCTGACCTAAACAAGGAAGGTCAGGCGATAAACTGCACAACATATGAAAGATGTGGACTGTAAAGTAAAAAAAAAACAGAAAAAGGAATGGAGTCTTTGAGGAGAACTTTTGGTGGCACACTAACTGTAACATGCAGAGTGCATTCTTATACTCACTGATATTTCCACCACAGACTAATGGAAAATGGGAGATTCGATATCCTCTCGTCTATTGACTT